GCTAAATGATGAAAATATAAGGGCTTTTTAACCAGATTTGTGAAAATGTGAATTTTATGTGTAGCTTTTTTTTCAAATTATTGCTACATTGTTGCACAGAACTTGTGAAACATTAAAAGCACACCACTGTGTAAAAAAACTTATTCATAATAATCTATTGTCAGTGACCACCATGTTAGAGGATTTTTTATAAGGAAATACAGAAAAAAGTTTGCAATTAAACCAGCAAAATCCTAAGTTCAAGCTTAAACTCCAAAACATCTCATTATGTTTAAATGAGTTAGGAATATTCCTCTTAATAGGAGCCTTAGTATATTGCCTTCAGCCTTCTGAAAGCATGAAATGTCTCATGACACTCATTGAATATTTTTAAAAGGAATTCCTTGAAAAAAGTATTTAGGAACTCCCATGTTACCAAAATTCAGTATTAGACTGTTATTATTCACAATCAAATTTTTAGGCAAATGACATATTTAGGGCTCAATATTTTTATGTTTCAGAGGTTAAAATAATTTTCTTTTTAAAAGAAGTTGATTATTTCCTTTGACCAGTATAAAACAGTAATCCTGTCAAATCAGTCCATAATTAGACCTGAATTATGACGTTATTGTCATACAAATAACCATTTCAAATGTTTTAAGAGGATTTAATTCAGTGCTAATCACAGTTTCTCTCTTCCTCGATCTTAAAATTTTTGGAGACAGTATGTTCAGGCAGATTTGGCTGCAAATTAAAGAGGAGATAAAACAATGCAATTTTTATATCCTCTGTGACTTATTTTTTGGTGAACATTTCACAATACTCCTGTATATGGTACTCACAATACTCAATTGCTGCACACAGGGCACTTGTATTTTGGCTATAGCAGCAAACACAGCACTGTGATCTCTGGAAGCAGCCTGAAATGTGGACAAAACAGACCAATGGCTTTGAAAAGCCATGAGCTGTTTCACAAATGTAACTTAGATATCCAGCAAATGCAAAAAGAACAACTTTATTATGCTGTCTGGTCCAGAAAGCAATGCTTTAAGCATGTGTGGCTAATAGGAGCCTTAGCTGTGCTTGATCACTTCCCCCATACGCTGTTTAAACATGAGGCATTAGGCTGGAAAGCTGAGCACTTTCACAGAGGATGGGGGTTAATAATTCACAGTGCAAAATCCTGTTTGATCTGCTGAGAAATTCAATCCAGCTAGAGCATAATTTTGCTTAATAGCATGGTGGGCGAGGAGGTTGCCAGAAGTGGGATGCTTCCCTCCTGGCTGGGGTCAGGCTGCTGGAGCTGGCCCATGTGCCAGATCCTGGAGTTCTGCTGTCTCCCTTCCTCATGGTCCTGCTCCTTTTTGCTGTGTGTTTAACACACACATGTGTATTCATGTCTGAGCTCCATTTTCTCTGGCAGCTGCTGTAGGTGAGTTGTGGATGCATTTTTGGAAGTCTCCCAAGGCACACATACCCCCAGCCCACCAGAAGGAGCCTCATTCTCCAGGTGGAGTCTCCCCAGCTGAGAAATGTGCCGTAATGAGAGCAGAGAAGCCAAGCTTTTCCCTGGTGTGTTGATGCACGGGTACACTCACTGCTATGTGTGCCTCTGAGGGCTGCCTGTCACAGCCAAGGGCACAAGGGAGCTGTATAGGTAGGATTTTTTCTCGTGCACATCCCACACATGGCAATTCACTGCGTGCTTCCTTGCAATGTCTAGAGCTGCGCCTTTGAGGAGAATGGAAAATTTGTCAAAATGTTGCCACTTTAGCAGAAAGCTGGGTGAGTTCCCTTGTTCTTAATAGAATGTACCTTTCTTTTACTGCTTGTAATGCAGAAAGCAGCTGATCATATTTTGTGGGACTCACATTGTTTTTATAGTACTTTGCCTCTGGAATAAACCAGAGCATATTGCATGTCAAGAACAGCAAGCATTTTATGGTGGAAGGCAGGCCATGGATTCCCACAGATGCTCTTTCTTTCCTTCAGACCTCTGAGAGAAATTGAGTGCTACACGGTGCCATCAGAGACATGGTAGCTCCTCAAAAATAGAAAGGCATGTCATTTGTCCCTTTAAAGTGCGCTCAACCTGCACTTGCCTGTTTGGGTTGTTGAAGCGTTTTGTCAATTGCTTGTGCAACACCTCATCCTAACCCACAACTGCAGCCCTTTGCTGTAATACAAACAGTGATGATAAATTAATGTCTGGCTTGGCAATGTTGCTACAGTCTCCAATTCTGAGAAAGGGTTTTCACTTAGAGAAATCAAATGGCAGATTCCACTGTCTCTCACCCTTCCTGACCGTGAACAAGCTGGTCCTTGTTTGTAAACCCCGTGAAGCTTGCTCTGGGGGAGGAGGCACTGTGGAAGCCCCTCACCCTTGAAAACAGGGCAGCACAACAGTCGTTATTTCTAGGGGATTTTTTAGCTAGCTATTTCAAAAGGAGAAGGATTTTCTTGAAAACCAAGTACAAAGGTTTCACAAGTAGAAAGACCAGAGTAGGCAGAGGTGAAATGCATTACAAACATGATGCTCTTTCCAAACCCAGAATCACCAGCACAGAAGTAACAATGTGCTGTTGTTCACCTTCCAAAGTCTGGGACTGTTTCCGTACACGATGCAGAGGGGATAGTCAGAATCCCTGGATAATCAGCTTCGTCAGCTGGGCTCTCACAAGGCAAACACAGCTTCCTGAGACTGCTCAGCCTGAACTCACATAACACCCTGCCTGAGACCAAGAAGGTGACTGGCATTGCTCAGAATTACCTTACCAAAAATAAACATCCACGGAGCCATGGAGCTACTCTCTTTGGTGCTGCTCTCAGGGGCTCACTGAGTCCTGAAGACACAAAAATCAACCAGGAGGAAGCACTTGTGGCCCACTGGAATGGTTACATTGCTATGCACTCTCAGAAAGGACCAGCCTTTAAGCTGGGAAAGTTTCTAGGCATGCATTTCTGTCCGTGCTACAAAGAGCCACCACAGGCAAGGGTTAGTAATGTTCTTGCCTTGTTTTTCATGTCATGCATACATCAGGGTATGATCATGAATTCATACACTAATTTTGTTCAGTATCCTCACAGCCTTAGAGAAAGTAAAGGCAGGGAGCCTTTGCAAGCAGCATTTGATACCTACAAACTTGTGAGTTGAGTCAGAGAGTTGGGATAAGTGAAAGGGATATCACATCATTCCTAGAAATGTCTAAGTTATAGACAGCAGAGGGATAGCCAAGACAGCAGGATGCGAGGAGTGCTTAGAGGAGTGGAGGAGTGAGGACAGCATGGGTAGCCGTGCTTAAAGGAAGGTATACTTCGTTTTTATATGTCCCAGCTGCTGCTCCCTCAGCAAGCTCAGCTCACAGACCGCAAAGTCTGCATGACAGAACAGCAGCTGGGAGATATAAAGGCAGGGATTCAAATGAAGCGTGTGTATTTTAAAACATGAAAACACTGCAGCAGGACCCAAACCCTCCTTGTCTTTTGCCCTGCCCTGACTGCCCCAGCACCATTAATCTCAAGGAAAAACTAGACTGGCCTTTGATCTAGGGCTTTCCTCTCTGATTACAGTGTTTGGACTACACAGTGCCGGCTAAGACCCAGATGCTGGAGCATCAAAGGCACGCCCATTCCCAGACGGAGGATGCTGTGTTAAGGGACTGCCACCTGGCAGCATCTCCAAGGAACTGCAAAAACACTTCGCAGAGTCAGAGGTTAGTGAGCATCAGCTTCCAGGAGACTCGTGGTGCATCCAGGAAAGAGAGATCAGGTCTGGTTGAGCCAGACTGGTGTTGCTGACTGATGGAGCTGGCGTTGAGGGGCTGCTGCTGTGATGAAAGACACTAGGCCAGGGAAACATTCACGGTGACAACCTTATCAGGGACTTTCCTGCTCACTGAAGAAGTTGTTCTTCCTTTGAGAAAAATCCCACTGTTTTCCCTCTCTTACTTCAAGTTGGTTGAAGATGCCTGGCCTAGTTGTACTCAGTCATGGTCTCTTTTTAGGTAAGGGCTAAGCTTTTGATTTGTGAAGATACACCTGAAAAGGTAGGTCTCACCTTGTCCCTACTCTTCTAGTTAAACAGAGAAGAACAAAGGTGACAACTGTACTGAAGAGTGGTGTGGGATGAACAGAAAAATAAAATAATCTCTCTTGACCAAGACCCAGTAACCCAACTTCCTTCATTTTTAAGTCTTCAATACTGCCCTGGGCTACTCTTTCCTTGTTTTGTGACAAGCTGGCAGATGAAACAAGAGCATCTTCTCAACACATTCTCTGGGTATTTTCCCCAGATAAGACTCTCAGACAGATTGCCTAAAGCTTTCTAAACCAGCTGAATTTGAAAAGGAGCATACAAAAGTCAGTAAGTAATTTCTGTAGTATTTCAGAAGACTTCAAATGGGAACACTTTGGAAAGTTTACTGTGCTACCCAATATCATAGGAAACAAACTTCCAAACTTTTGTTTGTAAAGAGACCTGCATGAACGAGACAAATTTGAGGCTTAGCTGAGCCTGAGATCCTTTTGCCAATAGTTGTTACAATGCTTAGCAGGTGAAGGGCCCTTGACAGGTAGTACGAAGTTTGGTTATCTTTTCATAATTCGTGTATAAATTTGCAGAAAAAAGTTCAAGAGAGAGGGAGGGCTGGAGAGATTGAGCCACTTTTAATTTTTAGAGTCAGCACAGTGTATTAAGGTCCTGAATGACATCATTAACACACCTTCAGCTGTGACCTCGTAGGATCACTGCTAGCTATGACATCTCAGCTAAGCCTGCTGAGCCAAGAACATCCTTTGTGTGTTCATATATTAAGGCTATGAAGAAGTTGGTCAATGAATACCAAACTAACATTTTTTACCAAGAAAATCCCACTCTGCCATTCACACAAGTTGTCTGACTGACACCAACCAGGGGCCAGAGCTTGTTACCCAGATGTGAAAGCATCTGTGCACCCCCTGCAGATTATCCCTGATTCCCTGGGAACTGGAGCTGAATTAGTGGGGGATCAGGGGTGACTCACCAGTCCGTGTGCGCGTCATCGATCACCAGGAGGACCTTGGGTTTCTGTGCCACGGGTGGCGCGGGGCCGGCCGAGTGGTCCATCAGTCCCGCAGCCGCCTGCGTGGTTTGCTTCATGGCGCTGGAGATGGAGCTGAAGATGCTGCTGCCAGTAGAGGAAGAGTGCGAGGGCTGGGGTGGCTGCAGGTGCTTTCTCTCCATGGCAGGGGAAACCGGGGAGCTCGTGGAGCTCTCGGGGCGCTGCAAGTCCATCATGTAGCCATTGGGCAGATTTGCCACGAAGCTACTGTCTGAGAGACGCCGCCGGAGGAAATTCATCGTTGCAGTGCTGTGGGGAAACTTCCTCAGCAAGAGCAAGGCTGAACAGTGCTGTTACCAGTCCTGGAGGATGCCTCTGCGTCCGTGTGGGTACGTCCTTAAAGTCCAGGCAGGCAGGCTTTAGCCCTTGAAATTGTGCTGGGGATATATGCCTAATTTTGTCAGCTGTATTTTCCTCCTCTCCTGTGGGAAGAGAATAAAAGACATATATGTGAGATACATACTGTGAGACTGAGTTAAGTAACCCCCTTTTGGTCTCTTAAACAGCTACCTTAATCAACAAAAGAAAGGACTGTTCCTATGCAGTATTCCACACTGCTACAGTCAAACAATTAGGACAAAATATGTGTCACCATTCTCATCCCCAAACGTCTTCTGGTCAGTAGAGACTAGCCTGCACTAGCTTAGGGGCTAACAATTCTATCACTGTGGACAAAGAAAAAATTACTCTGATAAATGTTAATTTTAAAATGAGAGGCACCTTATTTCTAGTATCTTGTGTGTTGAAAATTACAGAATAGCTAGCAAATAATCCAAATGGATATAAAGTTGTATTATCTTTTGCAGGCTTGTGAGCAAAGTTCTGAATGTAAGGAACAAATGTCCAAAATTCAAATAGGGTGTAAACAACAAATAGCAGAATAATTCCCATACATATTTTGATCAAGTTCAGTGACAGAAATTACACTTTTCTGCCCCTCCTCCTCTCTGAGCTCAGACTCTGAGCCAGGTCCTTGCTGGTGGTTGTTTGGTGGATACTAGCAAGCTATCTAATTTTAGAAATTCACTTGTAGGAATTTTGCAGGTACTCAAAACTAGAAACTTGGCTCTGTCTAATCTTCACACAGTTTTTTTCCTCTCTCACTGGTGTTTTTGGTTTGTGTGGTTTGTTTGTTTTGTTTTAATGAGAATTTATTCTGCTAATCTCTTCAAATGAGAAAACGAACATGGTGAAATATAAGTATTTGACTCTTCTCCCTTGACCACATTATGATCACTTTGTTTTTACTCAGAATACTAAGTATTTCAGCAATTAAATAATCTCACAGTTTAAAAAAAATTTCACCTCTAGGCACACCCCAGAAGACAGACTGAGAAATTTTTATCTGCTAAGACAGCCTTTGAGTCTTGGTTGGTGAGATTTAGGGGAAAAACAAAAGAATATTATTACTGGTAAAATGCATACCTTTTCCAAGACATACATATTTGCAGCAACAAAAAAGAGTGTTATCCCATACATCAAGTGAGATGAGTCTCATGCATCCATAGTATCATTGTTTATAATGATGCCTAACTCCCTTAAAGTCTCTTTGAATGACCCCCTGCAAATACTGGAGCTGCTTGCCTTGACCTGGTTTGGTCTCCCTTACTGCTCACCTTCTTGTCCCAAATTCTGATTGTCTCTTGATGGCAGAAAATTCTCTTTCCCCAGTTGTCCAAGAGAACGAATTGTGAATCTCTCTCCTGGAGCTGTGGGTGAGAGCCCATGGAGCAACAAAACAGCTTTCTTAAAATAAGCGCTCATTTATTTTTACCTAGAGGGTTTTACAAAGCTTTGCAGACAAAAGAGTCAGACCTGTCCTTGTCCATATTGGTCATAGCCCCCAAACCCTTAGAGAGGCTCAGATGAGCCTACCTGGAAGTAAGCAAGATACAAAAAGCCCCTTGGAACATCCCCAAATCTTGTTGTCCATCACCACCCTGACTCTGCGGGCACAGGATCCATCTGGGGCAGAGGGCTCCCTACTGGAGCTGCTGACACTGGCTGATTAGAATAATTTTTCTTTTGATTTCTAAGCCCTGGGAGTGCAAGTCCTCTGACTTTGCTGGAGCCTGGAGGTAGTGTTTTCCCAGGGTATGGCTCAGGAAATCTTTAATGACTTCCTGCCACATTCACGGTCGATAATGTATCTCAGGGTATTGTGCTGACTTCCCGCCTGGTCCCGGTGCACCTGGTGACTGCACAACATTAGCAGACACACACCAGGGAGCACTTCAGTAGCACTGCCTGCAGCAGCTGTTCCAAAAGCAGGTAGTGGAGAGTAGCCATGAATGTGAGCTAGCTACTCACCCCATATATACACCCACACAACACTTGTCCTGCTGCAGGAATAGTGAGTGCCAGCACTGAGCCATCCACTGTTACCTGTCCAGGATAATCTTGGTGGAACAGACTACAAAGATTTTGGGGGATTTATATACCACAGACTGAGTAAAAATGTGCTGTGCTGTCCTCTGCTCAAGAACCAAGTGTTTTCTCCTTGCATAACACAAACAAGAAAAATCCCTTCCCTTGAGTGACAATCCATTCAGGAGCAGGTGCAGGTCTGGTTAAAGAGGAGCATCCCAGAGATCTGCCTACTGTCAGAAGGGCTCCAAAGGAGCACCCCATGACTGTGTACAGCTATTAGGCATGCTCTTTTCTAGGGCCTCGGTGTTACCTGGCAAGACATGGGGCATACATTCGATACTGGTCTTGGGAGAAGCACCTGCAGCACAAGATTCCTGCTCTTTGCACGACTTGCACAACATCGCAGAGCTGCTGGTTCCTGCTGTGGCAGCTCTCAGCCACGGGAGGGAACCTGCCCCCAGCCATGCAGGCTGGACCAGGCTGTTGTCACAAGCCAGTATCCTTGGGACGGGGTCCATAAGGACTTGCATTTCTGGGAAGGTGCTTCTTCCCCTCTGCCAGGTTTTTGCATAGCTGCTTCGTCCCCTGAGAGATTTGCGCTCTCCAAATGAACATGGGTAACTTGCAAAACATCAACAAGTAAATAAATGGGCAAATGTCTCTGCTGGGCCCCGCAGTGAGGCTCGTGACCTAGGGTGCCCCAAGGCTGCATAGAGCCAGAGTATTCCATTACATGTATGGAAGGTACACAGTTTTCCTCTGCAAGGGGGCTTCCCAAATTGTGCCCAGTGCTCGCACTAAACAATTTATCATACTTAGTGAAAGGCCATGACCAGTCTCCTCCCAGACCCTTTTAAACAGGAATATTTGCAGTGACCTGTCATTTTTTCCACCAGGGGTTCCGTAGTAGGAGATGTTGCCCAGGAGAAGTTGGCAAAATGGGAGCTGGCAAAATTGTCTTGTCTAGAGAGTTTGGGACGTTGCACTTAGAGGGCTTTTCCCTCTGCTGGTTGGCACAGCCTTCACTATCTGCTAAGACTTGGCTGCATGCCGTTGGCTTGGGGAGGAAGAAGAGGAAACCTAAGCTCTGATGTCACAGGGAAATCTCCCTCTGGCAAAGCACATGGAGATTAAAATCAATGGATGACACTGCTGCAGCAGAGAGCAATGCCTGGCTCCACTCTGTGGTTCCTGTCAGGAACCTCAGCTTTGGCATCTCAGAGTGATGGTCCTCCTGTCATTACATATATTTTTCTAATGATCTGGCTAATGTAATCCGAAAAGATTTTTATCCTTTTTGGTTTTTTTTCTTTTAGGTTTCACTGTATTGATTTGTCAATAAGTGCCAGCACAGAGATCTTATCTGTAATGGGAGCAGTGCAAACTGCCAGGAGGTTTTCTGCCAGCAGTTTACACTGCCTTGATTGCTGGAAAACCTCATAGTCTGCTTTTGCATCACTCACACTTACTGTTATTTAACTTTCAGAAGTAGGTGTTTTCATACAGGCACAGGCTGAGGAGGTTAGGACCTCATTTTCCTACTGCCAGAAAAGAAACTCTCTGTGGACTTCCTGAGGGCTCAGCCTTTCAGGCCAAATCTGGCTCTGTAGCTCTTATGCAGCACAACATCCACCCAGTGCATGCACAGGTCTTACCCGGACAAGTGAGCAGGGCTGCAATTTTAACAAATGCAGGAACCTACACCTCCATCAGAAGCAAGACAGATCTGCTGAGTGGTTTTTTGTCACTCTAGAGCCACAGGCAGGAGAGCTGCTGGCTCTACACCACCAAGTCGTACATTCCCTGTGTACACCAGTCTTCCTATGGCTTATACGGAGACGCATCACCCTCTTAATGCTGTGCCAGGCACAAACTTGCCTGCAGGAAGGGAGCTCCCTGCACAGCTGCAAATACAGCCCATGGGCTGCTTCCAGACCAAGCAACAGCTCCTGTGGAGTTCCTCAAGTTGCAAGACAAGCAGCTGCTTCTCCCCAAGCAGGAGTCATGTGCTGCTGAGTGAAACAGCTGCTCCTGAAAGCTAGCTGGGAAAACAGCAGCTGGGCCATGGAGCTGCAGCCTGGGGATCTGCTCTATACTTCAGGGTGAGGAAATATGAACCAAGGCACAGGAGAATGAGTGAGTCCTGAGGGAAGAGAGACAGGGAAAGGAGCAGGAGGAGGAGGATGAGAAGGCACAAGCAGAAAGAGAGGAAGCAAGCAGGAATTGGCTTAACCAGCAGACAGTACAGGAACACACAGAAATCCCAACAATGTGAGCACCATCAGAGAATCAAAAGGGAACAAAGTGAGCAACCAAATGAGGCAAGAAGAAGGTCAATTAGAGCTGACCTTGAAAACAACAGCCAAGAGGTTGGTGCTGTCAGCCCCTTACTAACACTCAGCTAAACTTCCTGGCTGATATTTTTGGGAGAGCAAGGGAGGATATGCAATCTACTCACTCAGCACACTGACAGCAGCCAAGCACTACCTGCTTTCTCTCAAGGATATACTCCATGGAGACGCAAGTTATCTCAGAAAACCTGTTGACATGTGTTAGACAACAAGAACAGAATGTTCACTTAAACCTCTTGTTGGGTTATTTTCTGATGTGCAGCAGTGTCCGCAGGGAACCCAGCTCAGCTGGCTGATAGCTGCTACCCATGCTTAGATTTCCCCTGAGCTTGTTATCTCATGCTGTCAAGTGATGAACTGACACAACCACACCAACCTGCATCTGATTACTGCTCTTGGTAGAGCAATGCTGGGGGCAGCAGGATGGAAAAACACTCTGAGGGATTATCCCCCCACCTCACCCTTAGGGACTGCACTCTGCCTTCTGCCCTGTGGTGGATGGGAAGGTGAGGGGATGCTCCTCACCTGGCAAAAACCATTGACTTACACACCTCACATCCATTTTGCAGATCATCTTCAGCATACAGTCAAGCCTTAATACATTCCCATGGATCCCTTCTGCCTTCAGGCATACTGATATAACGTGGGAATCAACCTCTGTGGAGGGACAGCCGTGTTAGGAAACTCAAAATCCAGCTGGA